GGCACCACTGTATTTTAGATTTAGGTACAAATGCAGACCTGCTAAGGATCATGGTGAGGGAGGTAAATCTAAGTGTACCTGTCTGGAAGTTGTGGTAACTTGCTTGACTGAGTGGGGATTTAAAACCACGTCTTCCCAGTTTGAGTAGTAATCTGACACAGTAATCCACTACTTAAAATATTTATGGATTATTGGGATACTGAAGTTGTGTTTCATAAATGAGGCGAAATAAACATGCTAAACCAGTTTACACTCTAAGGCATAAGAAAATGTTTCCAATTCAAAATTTTGTGGAAAGTTCATATTACTGTCAACAGCAAGGACAGAGAAGTGAACTGGGAGCTACAGTCAATCCACAGCTATCTCAGCTGTAACCATAAAACAGCAACCATACTATTTCCTGACTTACATCTAAGAGAGATGTGCCTGGTGAAGTCCGTATTGCCAAGAATGTTTGGACTTTACATCTACAAGTAACTTTCCTGGAAAAATACATCTTGCTATGAACTTTTAGACTTAAAAGTTCTTCACACTGGTACGTAAAAACCTGATGAAGTGGTTTTTTTAATCCACAGAAGTGCTCTCGAAAGGTATCAGTTATTTTTGCATTTGTATTTTATTTTGTATTGACCACATGGCAAACCTTTATTTCAATGAAACCAGAGAATTTCAATGTAAACTCCATATTTCATCACCGTAAGTTTGGACTTTTAGCTATCAAAGTATTTATACCTTGCCTTTCAGTTCCATAAGTATTTCCATGATGACTGAAGATTTACATTTAAAAACAACAACAGATGTTAAAGTAAAAACCAGCAATAAAGTGAATTCATAAGGGAAGGATATTACAAAATCTCTGAATGGCCAAGCTAAACAGGAATGTCTGTAGTTGGCACTTACACACATATTCTATATTTGTCTCACAAGACTGCTCTCAGGCATTACTGTTTTTTAGTAGGCTGTGTCAGCCAATCCCCATCAAATAATGAAATGGGTGTATGCAGATGAAGGAAAGAAGTAGGATAGCTTTCCTCATACAGAAAAAAAATCCTAGGGTACAGAAGAAAAAGCCGTCTTTTAAAAACCATTAGCACTCTAAAGAAGAATAAAAATGTTGCTTTTGAATGGCAGTACCCCCCCCCACACACACACACCAAATCAGCACCCACAACCTAAAAGTCTCTTCCAGAGGGCTAAAAAAAAAACAAAAACCTCTTCAGCCTATTTTTGAGCGGTTCAAGAGATGTGCAGGGTGGGAGAAGCTTTGTTATGCCAGTGCTGCAGTGCCAGAGTGATGCTGGATACATGCCTTTGCACTGCATTTGTATCAAATATATATTTTATTATGATTCAGCTACACAGCTGAAGCTCTGTTAAAACGAAACACCTAACTGAATAAGTGTTGGAGCCTTCTGAATCATTTTAAAAAAATGTGCTGCTTATATACCACCCTATAGTGCTTAAAGCATTTTCTGGGCAGTTTACAAGTTAATTATGCAGGCTCCACATTGCCTCCCACCCCAGCAAGCTAGGTACTCAATTTACCCACTTTGGAAGGATAGAAGATTGAGTCAAGCTTGAATTAGCTACCTGAGACTGAACTCGGGTTGGAGCAGCATTAACCACTATGCCATTAGGCTCATACGTACAGGAGTTTGCTTTCCTAAGAAATCAATATTTAAGACAGCATTCTTAATCACAAAATCCAAATAGAACACTTGGCCAAAATGTAAAGCAACAAACAATTCTCATCTAATAAATCTTCCATAGTATCCTGCCGGACTCAAACATGCGTTAGCACTACTTTTATTTAAAGGCAGAAAGTGTTTTAGAAAATGTAAGTATTACTTCCACTCGACTTCTCAAAGAAAATCAAACAACATCATGAGAAGAAGATACCATTGGCCATGGTTGGGCATGCTGGTCCAAGAATTCTTTGCACTAACAGTCATGTGAAAAAGAAAGTACACCCTCTTTGAATTCTATGGTTTTACATGTCAGGACATAATAAAAATCATCTCATCCTTAGGTCTGGAATTCGGCAAATGCAACCTCAGATGAACACCAACACATGACATATTACACTGTGCAATGATTTATTTTACAAAAATTGTAAACCATGTGTGAAAAACTAAGTACAATTTATGACTCGCTAACTGGTACAACCACCTTTAGCAGCAACAACTTGAAGTAACTGTTTCCTATATCACTTTCTCACATCATTGTGGAGGGGTTTTGGGCCACTTTTCTTTACAATGTTGCTTCAGTTCATTGAAGTTTGCAGACGTTTGTTTATGCACAGCTCTTGTAAGGTCCCACCATATCATTTCAATCAAGTTGAGGTTTGGACTTTGACCAGGGTGTTGCAACACCTTGATTCTTTTCTTTTTCAGCCATTCTGTTACTGATTTGCTAGTGTGATTGGGATCACTGTCCTGCTGAATGACCCAATTTTGGCCAAGCTTTAGCTATCAGACAGACAACCTCACATCTGACAGTCAACTCAATGACAGCAAGGTGCCAAGGACCTGTGGCTGCAATACAAGCCCAAATCATGATCCCTCTACCATTGTGCTCGACAGTTAGTGTGATGTATTTGTGCTGATATATTGTGTTTGGCTTTTGCCAAACATAGCACTGAAAATTATGGCCAAACATCTCCATTTTGGTCTCATCTGTCCAGAAGGATTGTGGTTTGTCCAGATGTAACATTCCAAACCTACATGTCACCATGTTCTTTTTGGAGAGGAGAGGCTTTCTCCCGGCAGCTCTTCCAAACAAACCATACTTGTTCTTTTTCTAATTGCACTGTCATGAACTTTACCGTGTTTCCCCGAAAATAAGACAGGGTCTTATATTAATTTTTGCTCCAAAAACGCATTAGGATTTATTTTCAAGGGATGTTTTATTTTTTTCATGTACAACTATTTATATTTATTCAAATAAAGTCATGTCATTTTCTTCTGGTTGCTGCACAATGGTGGAGGGCAGGGCAGGGTTTCACTTAACTAGGGCTTATTTTCAGGTTAGTTCTTATTTCTGGGGATACAGGATAACATTTAACATGCTGAGGCCTGTAGAATCTGAGATGTAACTTCTGGGGTTTTTGCAATTTCTCTGAGCACTGCACAGTCTGACAATGGGGTGAATTTGCTTGAACGTCCACTGCAGGGAAGACTGGAAACTGTCTTGAACGTTTTCCACTTGTGAATAATCTTCCTCACTGTAGAATGATGGACTTTAAACTGTTTCAAAATGGCCTTATAACTTTCCTCAGAATGATGGGCAACAACAATTGCTTCTCTACAGTCACTGTTGATGTGTTTCCTCCTTGGCACTGTGTTAACACAATGCTCTGGACCAGCAAACTGCTAAAACATCAGCTTTTATAGAGGTGGTCACACTTGCTGAATCAATTACTCAAGGGTAGTTGGTTAGCAGCACCTGGCTATTACTTAGCCTCTTAATTCCTCCAGAAGCAATAAGGGTGTACTTAAGTTTTTCACACATGGTTTTTCCATTTTGGCTTTATTTTTGTTAAATAAATCATGACATGGTGTAGTATGTCATGTGTTGCTGTTCATCTAAGGTTATATTTACCTAATTTTCAGACCTGCCAAGGACCAAAAGATTTCTTTTATGTCCTAATATGTAAAACCATAGAATTCAAAGAGGATTTTTCATATGACTGTAGGTTTCTTTGTGGTACATGTAGTTCAGACTAGTATATATACCTACCTTGTGCATAAAGAGTAAGAACTGCCTGAATGGCTACATAGACCCCAGAAAACTGGTATGTTTCAAACATGACCTGCAAAACAAAAATTGTTCAGTTGTAGAAAACTGGTTACTTTAAATGTCATAGCTACGGTCTCAGTAAGACAATAACTATTTCTTGATTCTACTTTCTCTACTTGGTATATTTCATAAATCATAAAAATGTTCCCACAAGTCTCTTCCTGTCTCAAAAAGTAACATAGATAAAATTCATAGTGTCTTAAAACTTCTAGACAAAGGGCCTTTTTGGCAGCTGCCCCCAGACTATGGAATGCCCTCCCGACTGAGATTCATCTGGCGCCGACGCTGATGACATTTCGGTACCAGGTCAAAACCTTCCTGTTCCAGAAAGCTTTTAATTGAAATAATATCAGCTGTGAGTCTGATGGCAATTTTTAGAGAATATTCTTTTAATTGCATTTTAATTATTTTGCCTTTTTATTGTATTTTAAATGTTGTAAGCTGCCCAGAGACTTTCGGGTAGTGTGGGTGGCATATAAGTAAAATAAAATAAAATAAATGTGGAAATCCAGTTTTGGTCATTTCTTAGCATTTTGTCGGAATCCTTAAACTGTCTATGTTTCTAGGCTTTAATCTTCTAATTCAACTAAGCCAAATGTTTCAAACCTCGACAGCATCTTAAAAAGCAGAGACATCACCTTGTCAACAAAAGTCCAAATAGTCAAAGCTATGCTTTTTCCTGTAATGATGTACGGAAGTGAGAACTGGACCATAAAGAAAGCTGACCACTGAAGAATTGATGCTTTTGAATTGTGGTGCTGGAGGCGGCTCTTGAGAGTCCCCTGGACAGCAAGGAGAACAAATCTATCCATTCTAAAGGAAATCGACCCTGAGTGCTCACTGGAAGGACACATCCTGAAGCTGAGGCTCGAATACATTGGCAATCTCATGAGAAGAGAAGACTCCCTGGAAAAGACGCTGATGTTGGGAAAGGGTGAAGGCAAGAGGGGAAGGGGATGTCAGAGGACGAGATGGTTGGACAGTGTCATCGAAGCTACCAACATAAATTTGACCCAACTCTGGGAGGCAGTGGAAGACAGGAGGGCCTGGCGTGCTCTGGTGCATGGGGTCACGAAGACTCGGACACGACTAAACAACAAATCCCATTTACAAAATATATGGCTGCAGTAAACAATATGCTTTCTAATAATATTGTATATGTTTCAGAAATAGCTCTTTATAATTTTTCACAATTGTATTCAATTTTTGCTTCATGTGACCAATATGTGAAATTTTACTTGGAGAAGTTGCCAGGTGGCTTTGAAACAACAGCCATTTGGGCTTTACACAAACAACAAACCTAGAATAAGTAAACTGGTAATTTATTGTCATTTCCAAATTTTACTTTCTGAAGTAAAACCAATTAATTGTTCAAATTTCGCTCTGATGTGCTCAAGTAAGTCAGAGTAGGCCTATTTGAATCAATGGCACTTACAGACAAGGTGACTCCCCAAATTTCTATTGATTCAGTGGGCCTACTTTAAAGCAATCTGCTATAGTAAGCAATAGGATTTTGGCCAATAGGGGATCAATATTAATAACCACATGTATTTTCACTGAATAACTCTCCTATGGCACCAGATAATGCTGACTTTCCACTGTCATTTTAGCAGTTTTGGGAGCACAAATTTCACATGAAATTTCAGACCGAAATCTATGTTCCTACGGACAAATACCATGTCTCCCGAAGAACATTACTGTGGGGAAATCCCAACACATTACCTCCTAGAAGAAAGTCATTTAAGAAATGTTCTGGACTTTCCTGGAAGAAAGTTGTGTCGGTTCCCATTAGGAAAAGCTGGCCTGATATAAAATAACATGACCCATCCTGAAAATGAACATACCTCCACAATCTTTTCTCTGTTCTTTGTTGGATTCATGGGAGGTTCTGTAAGAAGAATTTTACAGTTTTTTGTATCAATGTTAAGTTTTTCAGGTCCAAAGGTATAGTCCCAAAGATGTTTCATATCATCCCAGTTCCGGACAATGCCATTTTCCATGGGGTAGTTAACTTCCAACATTGACCTCAGTTCGCTTGCTTCATCACCAACCATAAGATCCTACAAGTTGCAAACAGAAGCTGGTAAATTTATGATTTCCAGAAACTTTCATACAATGCTTTATTTCAGGTTCATACAAAAGAAACTGCTTTTCTAATTATGGTGGGGATGGACTCATTTAAGCATTCAACAGGAAAATATATTGCTGCATATAAACTTCATGGATTTTGATTCAATTTCATGCAGGTAACTTTATGCAAAAATAAGGTCCACTAAGAATGAGACTGGAACGTGTGTGTCCTTCAAGAAATATTCCATTATATACAAAATAGCACTGAGGCTTATGAAGCATTCATGTTTGGAATTTACATGTACACTTCCCTATTAGTATCTCCAAGGTTCTTGTACAATACATTTATATGTGGACAAGCCATGTGATGTGAAAGCGCACACAGGAAGAATAGGTCGGCTTAAGGGAATAAACTTTCCATGCATGTTTCATATTTCTGTGCACATCGCTAAATGGGCTAACAAGTGCTGCACAAGCATAAAGAAGTAGCAAAAGCAAATAAGAGTCCACAGATTCTACACTGATGTACAGAAGGTGAGGAGGATAAATGTTTTAAATAAGTCTAGATGATAGAATTGACTTCTGAAAGAAAAAAGTGCCACTTATTCCAACACTGACTTTCTCAATAAAACATGAAAATTCTTAACTAAACTCTGAATTGTATAGGTATTTGTCAAAGCAGGCTGCTAGTCACTTTGGAAGTTACACAAAAACCTTTAGCCTTCAAATCAGCAGTGTAATATACATAGGCATTCTTTTTGCTATACAGTCACAAAACAAGGATATCTTTAATCTGCTTCCCATCCTAGCAATATATCAATTAGTATATTAATTTAAAAGGAACAGAATGCCAAGAAAGAACAGATTAGATTTTTCTCATGCTTTGAAATTACTAATATAAATTTAAAAGGTGCAAATAAGAATGCCTATAAAAATAAAAAATCTGGTTTATCTTAAACTATTCAAAGAAATGTAAGCCTTCTTTTAATAGGATTTAATAGTGTGTCCTTCAAGATCTCTACAAGTTCAAAATGTGAGCATATCCATTGCTTTTCAATCGCGTAGCCCATGGCAGTTCACACTAACTTATTTGAACCTCATGTTAGTTGTAATTAAATTACCTGAAAAATTCAATTCACAAATTCAGAAGCAAAATCACACAAACTTAAAAAAAATCAAACAAGATCCACCGTATTTCACCTAGCGCTATGCTAATTTCAAGATACATCTAAAACATCAGTTTTATCATTGACAGCATCAATTAAGAGAACCAGTTAAGACTTGTTCTTTCACACAATTTTGAGTGCATGCTTCAAATATAACTTGCTTAATACTGAATGTCAAACACATAAAAAACTATACTAAATTCTATAATCAATGTTAAAAAGCATAAGGAAAGATGACCTATGTAGGATCATGATAGGACAACATACATACGGCAAATTCAAACATGTAATCCAGCTACTTTTTCCTCTCTTCACATAACCTGATTATCACTGACTACCATACTATACTGAAATCTGTGGGACAGTTTGCTACATAAACATGAACAGATGTAATTTCAGCAGCCTCAGTTTTGAGAACTGCTACATTACTGAAATCACAGCAATATATTCATGTATGAGCAGATCACTACTATTTCACATACTACATTTCTCCATGTGATCTATATACATGCAGATGATGAGAGGTCACATGAAGGGGAAAAAAGGCCAGTTTGTGTGAGTGAACCAATGCTACTTGTTTCAATGTTACATGTTTTAACATTCCCTACTATATTATACAGTATAGCAACTGACATGGGAGCATCCTGTTTGATTCATCTGACATGGTCCAATATGTGGAGTCTAACGAAGATACTAACCATATGCTGACCGTTAAACCTGTAGACTAGTTGTATCTACAGGTAACTTTAAGTATTGGGGCACGTCACATCCAGAAGATATGTACAAGAGTGTGAAGCTACCAAATTAAAGCAATGAAGGTAGATTAAAATAGGTATGTATTCAAAACAATAATATGATAGGACAAGGGGGGGAGGAGGCAGCAGAGAGGCCACAAGATCCCATCAAGCAAAAAGAGTATATGACAGCACGTGGGCGCCTCACTTACCATCTTTTTGTTATTCTACATCAACAGGTCAAGAAAGATGAAGAAAAGGCAGAAGCAAGAGAATCAGAAGAGGCCAAGGTGAAATTTTTATTCCAAGTATTTCAAGTATACACAAAAGAAAGCAGAAAAATAGATGCAGGGAGAGGTGGCAATGCTCTGAAGTAAGCATACTTAAGACAAGTGATACAAAGTATACAGTTCGAAAAGCAAACATCCAAATCAAATTAAAAAAATATAAAAACCAAGCAGCTCCCAGAAAAACCTATTTCCAAGCAAACAATGACGTTGCTTTTACTCATGAATCTACAAATCTGATAACCAGTAACCTTTCTGTGGCAAATTCTTACTGAAATCCAGTCTTCGCCTACTGTCCTCTTAAAATTATCCTCCAATTCTAAAGCATTGAAAATTTAAACTATGTCTCAATGATTAAAAGTAGGAGCCTTGTGGCACAGTGCTTAAACTGCAGTTCTGCAGTCAAGACTCTGCTCATGACATGAGTTCTGATGGGCTCAGGTAGCTGGCTCAAGGTTGACTCTGTCTTCCAGCCTTCTGAGTTCAATAAAATGAGTACCCAGTTTGGGGGGGAGGGGAAATGTGTAACTTGGATAACTAAATTCTAAACCATCCAGAGAGTGCTTTAAGTCCTATGGGGTAGCATATAAGCAGTACAACTTTTGTTTTTAAAACAGTATTTACTGACTGAAATCCACTAGTGTAAGGCTGATGATGCCATCAGCTGTGGCTGTTTTCAGAAATTAAAAGTTTCCAGTCCTGTCCTCTCAAGGACTAAAGTACCCTTATAATCCCTTTTGTCATGGGGAAGCTGGTGGGGGGTGCACAGGAATTCTTTGATCTCCAAAAATTGTCACCAATATTGTGGCAATTTTCAGGAATTAAAAGCCCACCTGTCCTATGGCCGCAACAATGAAGGGGAGCCTTGATATATTTAGGATGGGGAGGAATCAGAATTTTTTAATTTAAAAAACCCACTATGGCCTATGATGCCATCAGCCTCATGGGTAAAAAATTATGTTGCTGGACTGCAGTCAATAATTTGGATGTTCTTAAGACATTTGGATAATAAGCTTAAAAAGTGGGGGTCTGACTAGCATAATACAAGTCCACTTGCTATTTGTTACCTACTCTAATATAAGCAGCCTTTATTAGCACATGTCACAGAGGAAACCCATCATATTCAAATAACATGAGACTGCTAGCTGCCTTTCACCGCACTTTCAAGGAAGGCCAAGTCAACCTCACCTCTGCCGACCCCCCCCCACCCAATCTAGATATTTTGTACATTCTATCTTCAGTCTCCTAAAGACAGCTTTCCTCTGCCAATATTTTTTTTTCAAAAGTGGGAAAGTTACACAAATGGGAATGGAGGTGGAGGGAGTCTGGATAGAGAAGAACTATGAATGGACCAAGCATACTATATTATTGAAAAGTTACCAACTCCTTTAAAAAAAGAGTAAGAATCAGGGTAGAATTAGCCAGTTTCATTAAACTGCTTAAAAGAGTTTAGGGAACAAAACAATACCATCATTATTTAAGGTCATTAACTAAACAATCCTAAAAATATAGGTCTTTTTTTTTAAGGAGAGGTGGTCATCCAGTCTCTCTCCTATTTCTGGTGACACACAGTAGACTCAACATATTGCTTAGTTAGTCAATATTCTGAAATATATTCAAGCTACTATACAATGTTTAAATACACTGTTACATTTGAAGCTACTTACAAATTATATGTACAAGGGCATCAGTTACACAGAATATTTCAGCACACCTGATATTCCTTAAGTTAAATTTGTTGGTTTACAAGAGGGGTAGGCAAGCCACAAGACCCCAGAAATTTTCAGAGTACAAGTTCCAGGAATCTACACCACTGCTTAGACTATCTAAAACTGACAGGACTGAAGTCCAAATACTTTTGGAGAGCCACACTTTGCCCACCCTGACTCACCAGCAAAACCCTGCTTTGTGCTTTGCTTTTGGAATTACTTGGAACTCTCTACTATTAAATATCATATTTTGGAAAACTGCTATAACCTAGTACACAAAGAGAAGACACATTAGAAATCTGACTATGCTTCTTATAGCCACTCCCACTTTTACAGGCCAGCAAAATTTGACCTTAAGTGGAATACCTTTATCTTTATCTTGGGGGCTTGGAAAGTACTTTCTCTCTCAACATAGAAACAGGTATTGTATAACAATCATCCAGGAGCTTTTTATACAAACTGTTTTAAAAGACAAAGCACACTTAGTTAAGAACAAGAAGCTCACCAATTTCCCCAAATATTAACAAGTAAAAAATGTGGCTAATGACACTTGAGGTTATCACACCACATCAACCCACCTCTTATAAATACTGTATGTTGCTTTGCCAGGAATAGAGCTCTAATATACCAGCATCTGGCACTGGCTTCCTGTAGTCTAGCTCTCTAGAATGACAAGTAGGTTTTGACTAGGGATGTAATGAATACCCACTGAAATTCTTTATTCTCACTGAATTTCTCACGGAGTCCTCGCTTCTATAATATTTCCTGTCTTGGAATAGCAATAAGAGGACTTGTTTTTTTTTCCTAATCAACTCTGATTTTTTGCACAGGAATACCATGCACTACTGCATAATGCACCAGATTTCATTTGCAAATCTTCTGTCTTATGTAAAACATCCAGCAGTGCTTAGGGATATAAATGACTAGCCATGTATATCCTTGCTTCTCTCCTCTGATAAATTTTTTCTCCTCACTGTGCCAGAGGGTACATAATATCTAACACCATCAAATCAAGAGTTGTTACACAAATTACTAAAGCCCACATCACTGTTGCCTTACTATGTTAATTTTTTTAAAATTAGAATCATCACATGAGTTGCTTACATCTTTAGAAACACTCAGTTCCTCTGTGCTCACTGTTTGTGTGGGTACTTAGTTTTTTAAAGGTAAAGGATAACAGATCTACAGAAGACATACCATATGCAAGTTTCAGAAAGCTTGAAGCAGCGCTCCTGTGTGCCCTTCTCATGCACACATCAGAAAGAAGAATCTGTCAAGTATTCTTCACATTCACCTTTACAAGTATATATTCCAGTAGCCAACCAGCATCAGTGCCAGCCCGTCCCCCACCAAAAACCCTAAAAGAAATCTGCTTCTGCCATTCTGTTGGTGGAATCTGCATGGCTTTCCTGAATAGTTTCCCTGAACAATGTATGCACCATTTTTCTTGAATTGGATAGAAATGAATCCAGTGCTTTCTCTACAACGGCCAGAACCCTATTTATGTTTGTGTAAGGTTTGCATAACTCGTTGCTAGTAACCGTGGCTAACTGACAAGGTGCTGTAGTTGTTTCAGTCACATGTTTGATCCCACACCTGATTGTGCAACAGGGATGCAAATTAGCTTCAATTAGCCAAGACAAGTTACAAAAAAATTAAATGAGCACCAACAGACAAGCTTTCCCTTAATGACTTGCTATCTGAGTTGGGTTTTTTATTGGATGGTTGAACGTGTTTTTCCTGTTGCTTCTGTTTACTGTCTTTTAATGTGGTATTTGTTTGATAGTTTTTAAATATTCATATACAGTACTTACTGTTTTCTGCTTTACATATTGTCTTTTAACGATGTAAGCCACCTTGGGTCCTTCTTCAGGAGAAAAGCATGTTAGACATATTTTAAATAATAAATCAAATAAGAAATAAACAGGATTCTGACCAAAAAAAGGGAGTCTAATCAGCAGAATGTCCCATGAGAAATATTTTTAATCTGCTACTGAAAAATCTTGTGATGAAAATTCCTTCCCCCCCAATTTGCCTTAAAACAAGTTGTCATGAGATTTGCATTGCTAACTCTGATCTTTCTCCCTAATCTCTCAGAATATGTTATTTTGACAATGCTGTTTGTGAGTCAAGAGAAAGATAGCAGACACACTAAGGCTACTCACAACTGTGAAAATCAGATTTACTTGACATCCAATCAATACACAAGCCTGGTAACTGAAAAATGCAATAAAATGTCCTTAGAATATTTCTAAGAGGTAATTTGGGCTAGGGTGGGTGAAAAGAGTTTTTGATATTTGTTATATTTGAAGTGTTTTTTCAGTCTTACATAGTTGCATTTTGAGATCATCACCACCTCCCCTAGGACATCAAGACTGGATAGGCTACAAATATAAACAAATAACTGAATAAACTATTAAGTAAAGAATTAAATATGAAATTACTCCAAAAATATAAAGCATAAACCAGTTGAACTGCAGCTACCATAGTTCCTTCACTGTCTAGCTTCTGTTCAAGCATTTTTATGATTCGGTTGCAGAAAACCTTTGTGGGACACAAAAGCCTGGTAGGCTGAACATAATGCCTGACACTAATAAGATTAACAGACATAATAGTTGGCAGGATTCTTCCCCCCCCCCCAAAAAAAAACACTACTTAATCATTTTTAGAGTTTAGAAGAAGATCCAGACAATAAGCATCCTTCTTTCCTACACTTTCTATATTCTTTTCTTCCCAGGTCACTTACCTGTTTGGATATACTGAATAAGAGAAATGAGAACTGTTTGTTACATTTTCTCTGAACTGCACTAAGTGGTCACAGAAATGAATGAATATGCACTCAGACACAAAATGGCGTAGTGGACTGGTAGATTATAAATACTTTCACACAGTGGAGGAGAGTGGGAGATATTTTGTGACTCTAGCATTTCTACCCCCATAATTTCCCTTTTCTTTTTACTAAAAATAAGGTGACCATTCTCCTAAATTCATCAGAATCCCGACTGTCTACTCTGATGGGAATACCTCCATTAATTATTGTGTCTCAAATGTGCCAGACACTGTCAGACCCCAAAAGCCTAGAACTCAGGGTAAGAACATTCTTCAAGTCCAGGGCAGTAAGACAGGAAGGTATACATTTCAAATATCCAATCAGGAGACCCTACTGGAGAAGTGAAAGAACTGCTGCCCAAGATATAGCTGATTTCTGCCTTGTGAGGGCCCTGAACAAGGTTAAGAACCAACCAAAAAAATCACTGTCTTTATAGTGGTGAGACAGAAAGATAGTCTTAAACCCCAAACAAAGTTATCTTGTGTGAGACTACACAGAGACAGACAAGTATAGCTTTCACAGCTTGAGAAAAGCTTATGGAGCTTGGATTGGTCCTTTCTGAGGCCTTCTGCCCCTTGCATGTTTAACAAGAGTAACTCTGACTATGTGCTTTCATCTCCTCCATACCGGCTTTTCCTCCTTACAAATTCTCTTTCTAGTCACCTATGTTCAAGGAATGAGCCATGTAACAAACTTCTATCTCTAGCTAGGAGATTATTTTCAACAATTTCTATTTTTTTCATTGTCAACATTGATGCTAAATTATTCTGCAAACATGATTTTTGTCCTCTTAATACTGAAACGCAGCTCTGCTTTTGCACCTTCTTTATTCACCTTCATCAGGAATCTTTTCAAGTCATTGCTATTTTCTGTCAGTAATATTGTATTGTCTGTGTATCTCTGATTATTGGTATTTCTTTCATCAATTTTCATTCCACCTTCGTCTAAATTCAGTTCTTCACGTTTCCATATATGTTCTGCATACAAGACTGAACAGAGAGGGAGATAAAATACTCTTGTCCAATAACACTCTGCTTCTCCACTCTAACAGTAGTACTACAGCTGATTACTCCCTTCTTGGGAGTGGAATGTATATTGAATATTTCCAGTTAATGAAGCTACTGTTTTTTTTCCATATTTATTGGCATACTCTTCTTCAGGAATCTGAAAGATTCAGTCTCTGCAGCTCGGAACAGTTCTTCCAGTAATTTACTTCTTCCATATCTTTTGAGAACAGTGTTCACTTTCTAAACCTGTAGGCTCTTCATTATAGGATTTTTCTTCAAATGAATCTGCCATCCTCACATCTGTTCTATACAGGTCTTAGTATATAATTTTCATTTTTGCTTTATTTTATTGTGGCCTGATAATTTGTTCCTTACTGATTTTTCAGCATCCCTATTACAGATTTAAATTTCCCTTGATTTTTTTTAATTTTACAGAAGAGATCTTATTTTTCTCCTTTTGTAGTTATCTTTTAGAATTTTGCACTGATTATTGTAATTGTTTTCTCTGTCTCGATGTTTCACACGTTGAAAGATTGCAGCTAGGATTCTGACCCTACTTCTATCATCTCTTATTTTTGCTTTTCTTGTGTCCTTAACTATTTAAGAGTTACCTTTGTAATCCATATAGGCTTTTCCTTTCTTCTTACTACAGAAATTAGTTTTGAATGGAGATAATATCTCCATTCAACAATGCATATATACAACAATGTAAAACATATCTATAGAGGTTAGAATGCAACTTACGAAGGTGCTACTTTTGTGGATACAAGAAATCACTCCCCAGCTTATTTCCACACACCTCAAGATAAATTTAGAATTTCTTCTCACTACTGTGTACGCTGAGAAACAGAGACAGGCCTAAAATCACCCAGTGAATTGTGCGGCTCAGCAGGGGTCTTAGCCTGGCTTTCTCCAACCTATGTCCATCATATTCACTACTGTAACATCATGCTGTACACCATTCAATTCAAAATCTACATAGCTGATAGCCTCACCAAAGGAAAGAAATGTTCTCACTTTTTTCCAGATAAGGAAAGCAGAAATGTAGTTTGCCTTAACCCTGGTACTAATGTCTGATGAATATAATGCAAGTGTCTGAGTAGTTAGAGACAAGAGATATGGAGTGCCTCATGGCGTCTCTGTGTCCAGAAGAGAAACCAAACTAGGCACTAGATATGAGAAACCATCCTCCTCACAAAAAGGTCTTTATTTTTTTGCAAGCCAGTAACTTTTGTAAGCTTATCTACAAGCTTTTTAAACTACCTAACACATTCTACATTAGACGCAGTGGCATATACCAAAGTACAATGCAATGTAAAGAATTTTTGACATATTACCTTGATTTCAATGTTTCCCACTTTGGCAGTTGAACGAATAATGGGTCTTCCAACCAAAGCCGGGAAGATGTGTTCTGGGAAATTGGATCCTGCATACCCACATTTCACAAACTGTAAAGAAAACCAACAAGTTTGAAGTTAGTTTGCTGTTGTGCATATACATTATAATAGCTCACAGGTACAATTTTGTTATTCTAACATGTATCTACTGTGAAATCTATTTGTAAACAATTGTGAAAACAAACATTTCAGCAGACATTTTAAAATGTAATTTGATAAGGAAATACTTGAACCAGGAAGAATCCTGGTAAACTGCGGTGGCAGATAACCCCTAATTAATGAATTGCCAGTTATGTTCCTAGCTGTGTGACTAGGAAAAAAAACAACATTTTGCTAATTAGCAGCAATTTGCTTCTGTGCTTTACTCCATAACACTTATACTAGTGTAAATCCACAACAGGATTCTAGCCTCCTGGTGTTTAAATATATCTGAGCACATCACATAAACTACTGCAAAATTAGATTTCTCCACATTTTGTATTTATGCTAATATAATGTTATAATAAGATCAGCACAATCTAACAGTTTCTAGTTACTGGATATACTGCAAAAGTGACCAAATCTAAACAGCTGGGCTTTCTTAGCAACTGCAGATGTCTATCGGGACATCAAACTATTGGTACTCTGAAGGTGAATATAGAAAAACAATCTAGAGAATCTTAGTTGCTACTAAAAAAAAGTCCTCTCCCGTTTAGATTTATAGAAAGGGTTGAAGGTTGTAGGGGCAAGGCTTGAACTCTGCAGATGAATGAAATTGATAGTTAGAGAATGGGACACAGTTGCCTACATAGTCCCCTGCAGTGTGATTAGCATAAGAATTTATTTCGTTGGCTCATATAATTTATTTACCCAATAATGTCAATTTCCTATATTAATTTTCATGTCTTTTGATTACATTCTTGGAAAGATAAGAATTCAGAAATACGTTCTAGTTGACTTAATGTCTTGTTATCTAGAATGAGTCCAGCTTTCCCATGATACCAAAGGTGAAGAGTAAGAAGGGGAGAGAAATAAAGAAGTTGGGGGGGGATTGTGCTAGCCACCCCTGCTGCAACAGCTTCTCTTCAGTGCTGCATCACCCTCTACACCTGCGTACAGATTGGGAGAGGTATGCAGGATCTCCCTGCTTTTAGAAGAGACTTGGAGGAACACTAAAGGGAACAGTTTGTTACAAGTATCATGTATGGATGGGGATTTGGAATCCTACGAATTTGTAGTAGACAATGGATGGGGTTTTGGAATCCTACGAATTTGTAGTAGACAAGTTGCCAGTTATGTTAAATGTGTTGAAGTTAAAACAGAGCAGACTCTGTCTGTGGGTTTGGGATTGAGAGAGGTGCCTCAAAGTAAGACAGAACCCAGTCACAGGCAGATATCACATAATTATCAACTCTCATGATACAGTGGTGCCTCGCAAGATGATTGCCTCGCCGGACGAAAAAAACGTTAGATGAAAGGGTCTGGTGAGGTTTTTGTTTTGGTATTTTTCGCACGACGAATGCACTTGCAGAGGCTAGCCCCGCACCATTTTTGAAGATGCGCCCCTTCCCCCTGCCTTCAGCAAGCCTCGGAACAGAAAAAGGGAGGGAAAGCCTTTTTCTATTCGGAGCCTTACTGAAGGCAGGGAGAAAGGGCGCGATCTTCAAAAATGGTGCTGGACAAGCCTCTGCAAGCGCCGCTCGCCGCTCGGAGGGACCCCCGCCAGTCTTCTGATGGTGCAAGGGAAGCCCCAGGGGACCTCCTAAGGTGGCGATCTGGACAAAGGGGGGGGACGGCAGTCCTCTAATGGTGCTTCCCCAGCTCCCTAATTGGTAAGTGACTTTTTTAAAAAAAATTCCCATAGGAACGCATTAATTAAATTTCAGTGCATTCCTATGGGAAACTGCAGCTCACAAGACGAAAATACAGTCATACCCCGCTGGACAATTACCCCGTATAACTATGAATCCCCTTCACGACAATATTTTTGCTATCGCTTTTGTGATCGCAAAACAATGTTTTAAATGAGGGAATTTTGCTTAGCGATGATCGGTTTCCCTGCTTTGGGAACCGATTTTCGCTTTACGACTATCAGCAAACAGCTGATCACTGGGTTTCAAAATGGCCACCGGCTTTCAAAATGGCCCCCCACTGTTTTCTAGGACGGATTCCTTGCTATACAGGCACCGAAACAGTTTTCAATGTGGTTTTTTTTCATTTCGTTTGACGATGTTTTCGCTCTACAGCAATTTCGCTGGATCAAATTAACATCGTCAAGCGAGGTACCATTGTATCGCAAGATGACATTAACCTTGGAACGGATTAATTTTGTCTTGTGAGGCACCACTGTAGAGAGTATTATAGGGAAATGAAGAAAAATTTTATAATTTTACTATATATAAAGCTGTTATGGCAAATGGTTTAAATATGTTCAACAGGAAAGAATGGGTTATAATAATGCAACTATATATTGTAGGCTCCCTTTTTGAGTGAAAGTTTAAATTTAGAGAGCATAATGAGAAAGACAGCTGCTACGAACCTGGTGTGCAATCTATCCTGCTGTAAGCACCAACTCTTACTGGAATTATTTTCACTTGCATGCATCTTAGTACAGTGGGGCCTCACTTAACGATTACCTTGTTAAACGATGAATCCGCTTGACGATTAGGATTTGCGATCACTTTTACGATCGCAAAATGATGTTTCAATGGGAAAAAATGCTTTACGATGATTGGTTCCCTGCTTTGGGAACCGATTTTTTGCTTTACGACGATCAGAAAATAGCTGATCGTCGGGGTTCAAAAGGGCTGCCCACTGTGCAAAATGGCTCCCCGCTGTGTTAGGGACTGAGTCTTCGCTTTACAGGCACCCGAAAATGGCCACCCTATGGAGGATCTTCGCTGGACAAGCAGGTATTTCGCCCATTGGAACGCATTGAATGGTTTTCAATACATTTCAATGGGCTTTTTTATTTCGCTTGACAACGATTTCGCTCTACAGCAATTTCGCTGGAACGGATTAATGTCGTGAAGCGAGGCACCACTGTACTGTACATCTCTTCACTTGCATGCATCTTAATACAGTGTTGCAAAATTAAAAGGGAAAACAACATCAGACCATCACAAGGTCATCCAGTCACTTCAATATATTTTGAAAAATTATACCTTCCAAAGCTAACAACTAGTGGCCAATGGTTCAATATCAACTCAAAGATACACTTCCTATAGGGAGGCAGGATTAAGCACACCTGCTTTCTGCTGACTGATTTGATAAATGTTGCCTTTACCAACAGGATTTCTCTTTTGGTTAAAATGCACCAACAAAAGAGCTAAAAGGGGGGTTGAGAAGGGTCAGAGCCAGGAACGAATTGAGCCAGCCGGCCTTTGGTCATCCTGGCCCATTCCAAATGGACAGCTGGAGTTAAAAGATTCAGCACCATTTACTGGTAAACATATTCAAACACTTACAAAATAAAAGAAAAATACTGAATAAGGTATAGTGGTTATCTGACAAAACTAGGAAGCAGGAGACCTGGTTTCCAATCCCCACCTGCCCATGAAACTTACTGGGTAATATTAGGCCAGTCATACTCTTAGCCTAACCTGTCTCAGATGGTCGTTGTGAGGATAAAGTGGGGAGGACAGACATGTACATCATCCTGAGCTTGCTGCAGGAAATGCAGGTATGTCACCAACTTATAAAATGTGACTAACTTATAAAATCTATGTCATATGTTCCCAAAAATGTAGGAGTCCTGCCCGTTAGACTTTCTCTACTGGGATATGGATATATAAGATGACATTTTCCCCCAATACACATAAAAACAGATGCTTTATCAGCTTTGAGAAGACCTACCACCCATCGGTGGTGCTGTGGGCTAAACCGCAGAAGCCTTTGTGTGCTGCAGGGTCAGAAGACCTGCAGTCATAAGATCAAATCCACGCAACGGAGTGAGCGCCCGTCGCTTGTCCCAGCTCCCGCCAACCTAGCGGTTCGAAAGCATGTAAACGCGAGTAGATAAATAAGGTCCACCTTGGTGGGAAGATAAACAGTGTTCTGTGTATAGTCGTGCTGGCCACATGACAACGGAAACTGTCTCAGGACAAACGCTGGCTCTACTGCTTGGAAACTGGGATGAGCACTGCCCCCCAGAGTCAGACATGACTGGACTGAAAATGTCAAGGGGAACCTTTACCTTTACCTTACTACCCATAAACAAGGGGAATCAGAACACTTCTAAACGACTCATCCAATGCATTTCTTCACTTTGTAGTAGGGAATGTTGTAGTGCGTGAGTGCCTGGCAAAGCACTACCAGCAATACATCAATTCAACTGGAAAATATTGGCCTTGCATGTCAGAAATCTGACTGAATTGCAAGAGAAATGGCAAAACATCTCTTTTTTTCAAGTTATCATATACGGCTGGCACACAAAAATTGTATGTGCTTAATTATGTTTGATGTTTCTAAAAACTTTTCTTACGGAGCTTATTATTTAAAAGGAGAACCATTCCTATTATTAAAAGCATTAACTGCAGAACACTTTAAACCAGGACTCAACTGCCTCGTTTGAATGAGTAGCCAAGCGCGAAACCTGAGGCTGCGGTGGAGAGGTAGGCGGGCAGCAGAGACGCCTGGGATGATACATACGGCTGGCTGAAATTAGCTGTATGAATTGCAGGCCTCAACGGGGACTTCCGGCACATGCCGCCGCCCGACAGGGAGGGGAAAAGAGAGAGACTCAGCAAAAGCAGCACCCGCAGAAAAGCCATGTATTAGTATGATAGAGAGAGGGGGGGTGGGCAGGAAAGGGGGCTGCAAGACGTTAGGCCTTAGTGAGAAGCTTCCCTAATATTTTCGCACTACAGAAAATAATAAACAGGAAAGCAGAAAAGAGCAACAGCTCGCCCTGTATGCTTTGCGCCCCCTAGTCCACCATTAGGATAGAGTGGGAAAAGACGACTAAATGACTTTTAAGGAAGAGACAAGACAAGGGGGGAAGAGAGGCTCCGGAACACTAGTGGCAAAGAGAGAAAGAGAGAGAGAGAAGGAGGAGGAAAGGGATGGTTTCTCTTTCACCTACCTAGCAGGTTCATAGCCATTTATCCGAGAATTTTTAAAAGAGGGTCGAGCTTTTCCTACCACCGCCCTCAAAAAGAACTCCTAATCTGTTACGGGTTGCGCAAATTTGCCCGAGAGTAAGCCCCTTGGATTCGCTGTACTTCACTTCCGAGCAAACGGATGCAACCCCGGGTTTTTTTTCCCCCGAGTAAACCCCCGGCTCCGCCACCAGGTGCCCACCGGGTTTCTCCTGAGAATGAATACACGGGAAGGGGAGAAACCTGCTTCGGACCCCCCCCCAGGCTCTCCCCCGCCCTCATTCACACCGGCCGCCGCCGCAGCAGTAGCAGCAGCAGAAGGAGGGAGGGAGGGAGGAGGCTGCTGCTCCACTCACCCCGGTGCCGTTGTCGCAGACGACCACTTTCCTGCCCAGCGTGTCCATGTTCCTCCCTCACAGGACCGAGAAAGACTGGCGTGAGTGAGTGAATGACGGCGGACGCGCCCCACCCCGGCTCGAAACAGGCCTCTCGTCCCTCTCACAGCCCCGGAAGGGAAGGCAAAGGAAACCCCGCCCGCGAAGGACCCGCCTTTCTGCCCTGCAGCCGCTGCGGCGGCGGCGGCAGCGGTGGCCCGATCCTTTCGCCTTGATTGGCAGAAATAGAGCCGTCCAATCAGAGCCCGGGATCTACCGGGAGCTTTGGTCTTCATGGATAGGCCGCTCTGCGCCGCCGTTTCCTCTCCCCTCCGTTGGCCTGTTGCCTTGGCGACGGCCCCGGGCCCTCGGGCCTTTTCCGCCTGTGCAAAAGAGCGGCGGCGGCGGCGGCGGCGGCGGCAGCTTCAGGAGGGGCTTGACGGTAAACTGGGGGGGGGGGGGGGGGGGGG